AGCAACCTAAGCATAACAACTAGAACCATACTGTGAAATAAACTAATGTTTCTTTACATCTTTGGATTCCATATTTTTAATACATATAATACACGAGATCTATAAATCAATTTACTTTACAATTAAAATAAATGAGCAATGTAGAAGTCACAGTATTAAAAAGTCGTGAATTAAAAAGAAAACCAGATTAACCAATGCAGTAAGAACAGGCACAGCATTTGAAACAGCCATATTAAGCCAATCAGCCTGAGAAATGAAAGTGAAAAATCTGACCATTTAATAGCAAACTGATCTTTTAAAAATGGCACTATTTCACCTCTACTCTGTTTCATAGAATGAATGAATCCATGAAAAATGCCATTATTTTTTTTCTCTGTACAGCCTTCTGAGGAGGAAGGTCTCATATCCAATAGCCTGCAATCTGCTATAAATCTGTAGAGGTGCTGTTTCTGACTAGCATAATGTTCCTAACAATTTAAAATATTTACACAGGATATTCCACAATATCATTAAAATTACACAGTAGATTCACAATTAGTGAAATCACTAAAAATAAGAACCACGGTCCCAGTTTTGGTTTCTGTGTATGATTCATTTTCTCAGCTTGGAGTTACGTAGATCCTGAATAGCAAGGCTTGGAGGAGGGAATGTCTGCATTTTTCCTTTCCTGGAAGTGAACCAGTGCTCAAGAAATGAATCATCTGGAGACAAAAAAACTCTAACAGCAGCAGTTTAATAATGCAGCTCAGTTCTACAAACAATAAGGGTTACTCTATGGGATTTGTGACCTAATAAGTCCTTATGTTCCTTGGACTGCACTATAAATTAAAATATAATTCAAGAAAACCAGCAGTTCTTTAAATCAAAGGTTCAGACTTGCAGTACCTGAGAATCTTGGGCATGCCTCAGAAGCCTTTGCAGAGTGAAAAGGATATTTTTAACATAACCAAAAGAGAAGTTTAATAAATTATTAAGATTACAATAATTTAGTGTTATTCTACTACATCTTATTTAAAATTAAATCAAATTTAGGTTCTTCGGCCATAGGCCCACCCCAGCTTTTCAACTGTGGCCCCAGGACACCCCTTAGCTGCCATGTGAGACAAAAATTCACAGCCCTTTTTTAAACTAAGTAACCTATAATTCAGATAGTTCAACTGGGTGTTATCTGTGTAGACAATATAAACATTAGGGTGAGTATCTTCTCATGATTAAATACATTCAGACCACACTTTCATTTATATTTAGAAGTTTAACCAAATCATAATTCTGATCACATAAAGCAGTATACAAAAAATAAGAAGTAGATTGATCAATTCAGACAACCAGTACAGTGGTACCTCGGGATACGAACTTAATCCATTCCGTGACTCTGGGCGTATCCCGAGTT